GACGGTACCTGCCGGCTTCACTCGCTAGCGGGGTCCCGGCATCAGGTTGCATTCGCCATGGCTTCCAGCTGGAGACACGTTTGGAGTTGACCCGGGGGAAGGTGTCGGCGGCGAGAAGGCTCGCCGTGGCCCGGGAATGGTGCGGTTGGGGGGTTCGACTCAACGGCGGTCTGCATGCGAAGTGGAGGCTGTGTCGGTGGAGGTCTCCGCCGGGTGGTCTGAAGTAGCGTTAGAGAACCACTCCCGCAGCCATGGCGTCCATTATAGTGGTTGAGCGCCCCCATGTGGGTGGGGCTGGGGGAAATTTCACATAGTTCTTAAAAAAACACTTTATGACTTTGTTAGGAACCAGAATTCCCACTCCTGTATTATGTCCAGAATCAAACAAAGGCTGTGCCTTGTGCCAGTCCTTTCATAATGAACCAGCCCAAATGCTCACTTGTGTTCTTTCAGAGGAGGGGGGGAGGCAGGCACCGCACAGCCGAGCCTCAGCTCTGCTGCTCCGCGAGCGGAGAGGCTCGCAGCCCCGATCTGGACTGAGAACTAGGGTTCTCCAAGTTTGTTGCAATGTGATTTTTTTTTTAATTAAAAAAGTATTTCCTTGGTTTTTATGTCTTCAGAAACAGAAGCAAGAAAAAGAAAAACTCACTCCCGGAGTCATTTATGTGGGCCACCTGCCTCCAGCACTGTACGAAACCCAGATCCGAGCGTATTTCTCCCAGTTTGGCACTGTGACGAGATTCAGGCTGTCCAGAAGTAAAAGGGTAAGGTTTTTCTACTGAAGTAGGTGATTTATTTTCTTTTTCAAAAGCACATCGTCGTTGACAGTGTAGAGGGCGTGCTCACACGGTATTCTTACCAGTCTTCGCTCCAGAAGGGGGTCATGGGTGAGGCCTAGAACCTGAAACAACCGCGAAAACAAAATCGGGATTACTGTCGTGTTTGTGTTACTGTTAGAGAGAGTGGTTGCCCCAGAGCCTCTAATTACATGGACAGTTTTGGTAAACGGATCGTGCGTGTCCTGCAGCTACTCAGTCAGCTGCACAGGGAGCTCAGTTTGAGGAGCAGTTCGCACCTCTTGTGTTGGCCGGGGTGTGTGCACCCCTGTAACAGCAGAGGTGTGTACAGTGAACGGTGAAGAACAGGGACACGGGCCAGGCCGCCTGTGTGCAAGGCCTGGCCTCCACGGGTTGCTGGCTGTATGGCCTTGGACAAAGTATGTAACCTGTCCATGCTTTAGTTTTCTCATTTGCAAAATATGAGTGAAATAGCACCATCGTCCTAGGAGTATCTCATTACAGATTACAGGTAGGGAATGTGAGGTTCTTGGGACAACGCCTGATACAGAAAGAGCTGTGTGTGTGTGTGTGTGTGTGTGTGTGTGTGTGTGTCATTGTTATGTCATCCCTACCTTCTAATTTTAAAAGGTTTATGTGGTTTGTTTCAGGAATAGAGTGTGCTGACTTCTCGTATAAAACTTACAATGTTCCCAGCAGCTTCACCCAAGAGTGAAATATAAAACCTAATGTTCAGTGGGAAGCTAGATAAACTTGAGTGTGTTCAAGCAGAGGAACATAGCAGTGACAGTGAATGTAGTAGTTACATGGATAAAGCTCAAAATAGGTTGTTGAATGAATATTTTTTTTCATTCTCAGTTTATTTTTTTACCACACCACACATGTACACTTTTATTGTTGTAACCATAGAGACCTCTCGTTGGAAATCTTTATTTTTCTTGATGCAGTTTCTTCACATTTTCCCACTTGAGTTATAACAGATCAAAGTTAATTTTATATTTTATTTGGTACATGAGTGGATAAGGTATGCATCCATCTTCCGCTAGTTCTAAAGTTACAGGTATTAAGTTTTGTCAAAGCAACATCTCAACATTAAAGGGGATTTCAAATTTAAAATGCCCTGGTATTTCTCTAATCCTAACCAAAGTAACACATTTTCTCTGTATGCCTCCTCTTCCCCCCATTTGTCTATTTGTAATGGTAATGGTTGCTTATTATGTCGGTGAGCTATTTCAAACATCCTGAAGTCTACCAGAGAATGCTTTAGAGACTTGAGGTATCCACCATTTTCCTTTATCAAATATCAACTTGCTTCAGGCCTTTGTTTTTTTAGAAATAGATTCTAGGTAGACTTGGGGTCCCTTTCGTGCCCTTCCCCGGTCCTCTGCACCTTCTCCCATGCCCAGGAAATTACTGTTCACGAAGTCAGTGTTTTTCATTGCTGTATGTGTTTTGGAAATCTTTACTACAGATTGTATAGTATTATTCTCTCTAAGTTTTATAGGAGAAGTCAGCACACATATACATGTATGAACACATAACTGAAATAAAAGTTCTATGAGACACTACTTAACCGTTCTGTTCAGTTGTTTAACATGACCTTTCTGACCTAAATTGGTTGTGTTGAGTGTCATTATGGGTTTATTAGCCATTAGAATTCCCTCATCTGTGAACTGCCTATTTTTTTTTTTTCTTTATTGATTAAGGTATTATATATGTGTCCTTATTGCCCCGTTGCCCTCCCACCCCCCACTCATGCCCTTTACCCCCCTGTTGTCTATCCATTGGTTAGGCTCGTATGCATGCATCCAAGTCCTTTGGTTGATCTCTCCCTCTTACCCCCACCCTGAACTGCCTATTCTTTTTTTTTTTTAATATATTTTATTGATTTTTTACAGAAGGGAAGGGAGAGGGATAGAGAGTTAGAAACATCGATGAGAGAGAAACATCGATCAGCTGCCTCCTGCACACTCCCCACCGGGGATGTGCCCGCAACCAAGGTACATGCCCTTGACCGGAATTGAACCTGGGACCCTTGAGTCCGCAGGCAGACGCTCTATCCACTGAGCCAAACCAGTTAGGGCAGAACTGCCTATTCTTATCTTTTGCCCTCACTGTCTTTTTCAAAAACTTTTTTCTGCCTTTTTTGAGGATCATTTGTAAATATTTTTCTGTACTGTAATATAATCATTGTCTCCCCCAGAATTGTATTTTGAAAATGTTCAAGTCTACAGAGAAGTGGAAAGAACAATAATGTAATGAACATCTCTTCCCTCCCCTGGATTCACCCATTATTAACACCCTGACACATTAGCTGTATGTCTCCATAGCTATAAACACACATACTTCGTTTTACTGAACCTTAGAAGGAAGTAGCAGTCATAAAGACTTGAAACACCTCACCGTAAATCTAGGAATCCGGACACGATATAGTATAGCACAGCGGTCGCCAACCGGTGGTCCATGAGGTCTGACAGGTTGGCGACCGCTGGTCTAGCATGGACTTGCCATCGTCACATATTCCCCAGTAGTCCCAAAAGTCTTTAGCTACCAGTTTCCTTACCTGATCTGGGATCAGTCACGATTCCTGCATTGCATTTGGTTGGTGTGACTCTTCAGCCTATGTAGGATAGTCTCCTTGCCCTGTGTACTTACTTGGTTTTTCTTAATGTTGGCTATTTTGAAGAGTTCAAACTGTTAAATCAATTCCAACTGTGGTTATGGACTTACCTGTGTGATCAGATCCCAGGAATACCTCGAGGTCAGTGGCATATTCAGCCTTTTGGGGATCTTTCCTTTTCCCACAACAGTTTCCACATTATATGCCATGATGTTATTTGCTAATGGGGCTGGTGTGATTATTTAAATTAATGGCATTTTAGCAGTTCAATGATGTATTAGAGTTTAATTGTTTTTGTGGCGGTTTTTTTAATTGCAGACTGGAAATAGCAGAGGTTATGCCTTCGTGGAATTTGAATCTGAAGATGTTGCCAAGATAGTTGCTGAAACAATGAACAACTACCTTTTTGGTGAAAGGCTCTTGCAGTGTAAGTGCGCTTGTCTTTCCGTGGGCCTGGTTACCTGCTGCTGATGGGTGGATGTGGTGTGAAGGACAGATTGCTCAGCTACTCGGACATCTCACGTCATTTCTGGATGATCCCCTTAAGGATGGTGCAAGATCAGTTCTAATTAGAATTTTAAAATCTAAACCAGACTGAGCTGTGTTTGTGCCGAGATGGAATTGGGGAGTGATTTTAGGAGCACATAGGAAGAGCGATTAACCCACCTTAAAGGGCCGTGGAAGGCTTCCCTGAGGAAGTATTTAGATTAAAATCTGGAGTTTAAAGAGGAGTGAGCCAGGTTGGGGGAAGGGGATGAAGGTTGAGATCCTGGCCGAGCGGACAGCAAATGCAAAGCTAGAAGTGACTAGCAGTATCTGCCTATGAGGGACTGAGGAGAAGAGCAAGAGATGAGGGAGAAGACGAGGGGAGGCCAAGTCTTTGAATCCTTATAAATCTGGGAGTTCGATATGTGTCCTGAGGACAGTGAGAAACCATTAATGGGTTCTAGATAGGGTAACAGTGAAGGGAGGAGTCACAGTTCAGACTGTCTGAATGGCATTGGTGCAGCTCTTCTACCAGAGAAACCATGACAACACCAGATTAGAAGTTCACCTACAGAAACTGGCGCCGCCGGCTTGACATCCCAGCGTAGCCCTGTCTGGGTCCCAGGGCCCTTCAGAGGCAGAGTTATGGTTCTGGGTGCTTGCGCGGGGGTGTGGCCATTCAGGTACCCAAGTCAGGCACATCTGATCAGGCAGCTGATGAGGCTGCCCAGGCGGCATCTCTGCGGCCTCTCTTCGTTTTGGTTCCTCCTGCCCTGACAGTCCCAGCAGCCTTGCTGACGGCATGGGTTCATTCACAGAAATGAAGGAGAGGAAGGGTTGAGGAGGTGAGCCAAAAGGTGTCCGAGGACTGCACATGTGGATCCGTGCTATGCTGTGCCCCTCCCACTCAGTTGAAAACTTGTTTCTTTTTTGCATGTAGGTCGTTTTATGCCACCTGAGACAGTACACGAGGAACTTTTTAGAGAGTGGCATCTTCCGTTTAAGAACCCGTCTTTCCCAGCAGTGAAACGGTATAATCAGAACCGGACCCTTCTTGAAAAGCTGCGGATGGAGGAGCGATTTAGAAAGAAAGAAAAATTACTCAGGAAGAGACTAGCTAAGAAGGGAATTAATTATGATTTTCCTTCATTGGTAAATATTCCTTCAGAAAATATATTTTGTGTTTTTCTTCTTGGAGGTGGGCTTTGTACCTCAGTAGCTGTAACATGATTATGGTTTTCTCTATAAAGTATCTAGCTCAGTGCTTACCACATACTAGGGTTTGACTAAATTTTTGAGGCGCTGCATTGTAAGTTCTTCCTAAAGTGTGTCAGACCAGATCCAATGATCGACATTGTATAGAAAAGGAAATTTCAGAAAGGGGTTAGGTTTTTCATGATCTGTTTTAAATTATTGAAGTTACACCACTCTTTAACCCAAACCATAATGCTTCTAGATTGCTATTAAAAGTGTCCTTTCCAGAATTAAATGAAGTTTGGTATTACATGGTATCGGTAAACATAAAAGACTATAAATTGGCCATCCTTTTTATGCCATTCCAGTTAAAATTTTGTTTCTTGTTCTTTTAAATTGGAGATAAAGTGCATATCAGATTTCAGCAGCGTCATCTGTGAATTAAGTGAGCAAGGGTTAGAATATAGCAAACCTGCTGGCATGAAGCTGCGTCAGCACAGATGTCACTCAGTCAGTCCCCATGTCCTTGCTCGCTGATTCTCCCTCCCACTTTCCTGGGGGAGAGCTATGTCTTCCACTACGAAACGAGTGCAGGCCACTCGGGGGTGGCTAGGATAGGTGACAATCTTATTTCTTCACTAAATTCTGAGGTTGGTTTGGATCTTTCACAGACCCTTTCAGCTTATTTTCAAACAGCTAATTTGTTGGAAAGAGATGGATGGCATCTCTTCCTAAGGTTATTAGGTCTTTTAGCCTTATCCAGAAACTAGAAGACTGAGTACCCCCTTTGGCCCAGTTCCGGTTGTTGATTCTTTGCCTAAATCCCAAACAGTCTTTAACAGTATGTGTTTAAAAATCACTGTGTCCCAGGCAGCAGGCCCTGGTCCTTTTACGAACCATTTGGGAGCTGGTCCTCTAAAGCAGGACGCTAGGCCAGCTCAGGTCTCAGCCTCACTTCATCTCCACAGCTTCTGCCCATCCCCCAGCTCAGCCCCTCTTTACTTTTTTCCCTTTACTGGAGATCATTCACTATATTTGTGGATTTTGCTTTTTAAATTGAAATGCTTTCTCATTTAGGAAGGATCTGCTGATAACATGTGTAAGGATCTAATGGTAAGTTAAAAACGTAAATATGTGATACTGCCAGGTAATAACTTCTTTCTGTTTACTTAAGGTTTTACGTAGTAAAAAGAAGAAAAGCAACACCTCAAACACCAACCTTCAGGAATCCACAAATAGACAGGTAACATTTTTCTTTTATTGCATGCCAGGTGTTAGGGGAAAGATAAATGGGTAAATATATTCAAACTACTAAAACTGTTAAATATACAAATTGATGAAGTTTCTTAAACTTTATTGAAGGCTTTACCTAAGAATAAAAAGAAGAAGGCTTCAGCCACCCCTGAAACTCCTGAGAATACTGTGGATAGCCAGGTAAAATTGTCGTTAGTATTTTGAGAATCAGGTAGTATAATTCAAAAGAGGAGAAACAGTTCCTGCTACTGTCAGTTTGTTAAAATTTCACATTTAGCCCTAGCCGTTTTGGCTCAATGGATAGAGCTGGGCCTGCGGACTAAAGGGTCCCCAGGTTCGATTCTGGTCAGGGGCACATGTCCAGGTTGTGGGCTCGATTCCCAGTAGGGGGAGTGCAGGAGGCAGCTGATCAATGATTCTCTCTCATCATTGATGTTTCTATCTCTCGCTCCCTCCCCCTTTCTCTCTGTAATCAATAAAAATATTTAGAAAAATTTTTCTCATATTTAATTTGTGACTTCAGCAGATACTGTGAGTTTACAAGCAAAAATTATCATTGTGAGTTTATTATTGCACTTTGTACCTCTTAAGCAAAGTGACTGAGTTAGGAGAGAGGAGGCCACTGTTTTTATAAGTATAAGATCAAGGTTTTCTACCTCATATCCTATAATGGAGCATATTATATTACAATCGATTGTGACTTTTTTATACTAAGTTTGATAAGCACCTAAACTCGTTCCTGTGTGATTATGTCACTGAAAGATGGAAATAGGCCTGAATTAACACTGCACAACTTGTAAAAATAGAAGGGAGGGGTAAAATATTCCTCATATCTTCCCACATTTATGTATTATTTCTTGTTGAATTTAGGGCCCCACACCAGTTTGTACACCAACATTTTTGGATAAACGAAAATCTGAAGTGGCTGAAATGAATGATGATGAAGATAATGAAATAGTTTTCAAACAGCCCTTATCTGGCATAAAAGAACAAACACAAGAGACTGAAACACCTACACAGTCAAGGAAAAAAAGACGAAGAAAAAACAATCAGTGATTCTGAGTGTATTTTGAATAATATTTCTTCTGGAAAATGTGATTTTATTATGAGGGCTGTGTATCGGAAGAAACACTGTTGGTTCCAGTCAATAATAACAGGAATTGGTAACTTTGGCTTGCCTGCCCCAGCTGAAACACAGGTGCGCACACCACCCAGCAGGAGCCAGGCCTGCTGCCTCTCTGCCCCGGTCTCCCAGTTTCTTCCCAGATTCATACCTGCCTTTAGTGACGCCTGCTGCCTCTCTGCCCCGGTCTCCCAGTTTCTTCCAGGTTCATATTCATGTCTGCATAAAAGGGTCACCATTAACTGCAGGTTTAAATACTAAACTGCAGCGTTTGTTAAATAAAAGAAAATAAAACCTTGCTTTATTGTCCACATGTTTCTCTGTGTAGGCTGTGCACATTTAACCCATAAGGGTATTTTAGACTTCAGCATCCAGTGGTCAAAACTGGACATGAAGTACAGTGAGAAGGCAATTCAAGTGTGTATATATGTGTATATGGTCATTTTCCTAATGTTAAGTTAGTTTTTGGTAAGCTAGTATGGACTACTAACCACTAAAGTATCATCAATGTGGAATTGTATTTCATGGTTTAAACAGTGACCAGCAAATAAACGTGTTTTGTTTACAATTTATTTGTATGCAAGTGGGACTTGGGTGTCTTGAAGTAAAATAGTAGGTTTTCACCTCAAATATTTTTAATTTTCTAATGCCCTTGAAATATGCTTTTGTATTAGCTAATTCATGTTCATTGAAAACTGCCTTCAAATATTTTTTATCCAGTATTTAGTAAATCTTTAAAGTGATAGTGGGCTGAGATGGCAGCATTTGTGCTACAAGACTTTAGTTGTGATAGAGACAATATGTGGTCCTCTCATTGCTGGGTGCACTACAAATGGCAGTGGCACAGTTTCATCTCGATGGCCTTCGTGTGCTACATGTCTCAGTACCATGGGTTTTACATATTTTGATTACCAGTGCATACCTATCCAGTCTAAAGAGAAAATGTTCACGGTGGACTGGATTATTTTATCCATTAAGATGGCAGTGACACATCAGCTGTGCTAAAAGAACACAATATATATAGACATTATCAGACTAAGCATTCATCACAATATTCCCAACTCAAAAAGCAGAATTAACCATTTTAAATGGACTATCAGCACCATTTTGTTAATCCTCACCCAAGGATATCTTTCCATTGATTTTTAAAGTGACTGGAAAGGAGGGGGAGAGACAAGCACTAATGTGAACAAGACATGTCAGTTGGTTGCCTTCTGCATGCGCCCAAGTTACTTCCCCTTGACCAGAATCCAGGCCGGGACCCTTTGGTCCAAGGGCCAAAGTTCTATCCATTTAGCCAAACTGGCTAGGGCTCAGCAGTTTTTTTACCCCAAAATTTTTAAGGTGGTAATGTTTCCATGTGGCTTATTAGGCAAGCAAGGAAAGCCCTTTACCAATGGTAAGGTACATTGTGATTGCAGCAGATGACAAAATGTGTCCAATAAAATGAACTTAGAAAAAAATTTTTTATTGATTTCAGAGAGAGGAAGGGAGAAGATAGAGATAGAAATGTCAATGATGATAATCATTGATCGGCCTCTCTGGCACACCCCCTACTGGGGATTGAGCCTGCAACCTGGGCATGCACCCTTGACTGGAATCAAACTTGGGACCCTTCAGTCTGTAGGCCGACACTCTATCCATAGAGCCAAACCAATTAGGGCTAAAAATGAACTTTTTAAAAATATATATATTTTATTGATTTTTTTACAGAGAGGAAGAGAGAGGGATAGAAACATCGATGAGAGAGAAACATTGATCAGCTGCCTCCTGCACACTCCCTACTGGGGATGTGCCCACAACCAAGGTACGTGCCCTTGACCAGAATTGAACCTGGGACCCTTGAGTCCACAGGCCAACGCTCTATCCTCTGAGCCAAACCGGTTAGGGCATAAAATGAACTTTTTTTTAAGACAGCCTTTATCCCTGGCCAGTGTGGCTCAATTGATTGAACTTTGACCTTTGAACCAGGCCAGTGTGGCTCGATTGGTTGAACTTTGACCTATGAACCAGGAGGTCACGATTTGATTCCTGGTCAGGGCACATGCCTGGGTTGTGAGCTTGATTCCCAGAAGGCATCCAATCAATGATTCTCATTGATGTTTCTCCCTCTCCCTCTGAAATCAATAAAAACTTTTTTTTTAAGAAGACAGCCTTTAAACAAGAAAGTTGCTTGAAGAGTTGAAGCAACAATAGTTAATTTAAAAACAAGGCCAGTGAAAATGGTGACAAAAGGAGATTTGACTTGGGTTGGTGAACAAACAAAAAAAAGTAAAATAAAAACAAGGCAAATTATTTTGATTGTTTTTCCCAGGCACTTAAGAAGTTAAAAGACCTTACCAATACTGTTCAGCTCACTGTTCAAAAAGTCAAGATTTGAAGTGCTAGAATGACCAATTCATCAAGGTTTCCCCAGAACCTTTCTGGTTTTAACACTGAAAGTCACATGTTAGGCGAACCTCCTCAGTCCCAGGCTAATGCAGTTTGTCACCCTAGAAATGACTGAAGAATTAGCCTCTATGCAGAATTAGCCTGTCTGTGGAACAACTATAAGCAAAAATATTTTCAAAGTGGAGAGAACATTCATTCAGTACAACTGAAGTGGAACCTTCCAACATGTGCCATACCTGATTTTGGTAAAAAAAAAAAAAAAAACACATAGGGAACTAGAAAAAGACTTAGACAAATGTAGAGTTTCTGAAAATATAAGGTGTTTAAGGCCTGCTTCTTGTATTATTCACCAGCAAGTACTTAAAGAAATATGTGAATTGCCCAGCTGGTGTGTCTCTGTGCTTGAGCATCGACGTATGAACCAGGAGGTCATGGTTCAGTTCCTGGTCAGGGCACATGCACAAGTTGCAGGCTCAATCCCCAGTAGGGAGCGTACAGGAGACAATGATTCTCATCATTGATGTTTCTATCCTCCCTCTCTGAAATCAATAAAAATAAATTTTAAAAATTAAGAACATTTAAAGAAAAAATATGTGAACCTATCATGTGTTATTGAACTAATCATGTCACTGTTGTACTTCATTTGTTGTGGACTTAGCTATTATCAGTTCCAGCAATTTCTGACAGAAATAGAAGCTCAGTATTCTGGCCCTAGCCAGTATGGCTCAGTGGATAGAGCGTCAGCCTGTGGACTAAACGGTTCCAGGTTTGATTCTGGCCAAGGGCACATGCCCAGGTTGCAGGCTCGATCCCCAGCAGGGGGTGTGCAGGAGGCAGCTGGTCAATGATTCTCATCATTGATGTTTCTATCTCTCCCTCTCCCTTCCTCTCTGAAGTCAATAAAAATGTATTTTTAAAGAAGAAGCTAAGTATTCTGACTTGCCCTGCCACACAGCAGTTTGATGGCTTTGTGGTGGTAAAGTTTTGTTGAGACGTTCCAACTTCAGAGCCAAAACTGCAAATTTCTGAATGAGAAGAACCTCCCTCAAACACTGAATGGCCTTAAAATTTAGCTTTTGCTGCAGATGGTGTTTCTTAATGAATTCAACCTAGAAGCAGAAGTCAGAGCACCACTTATATTTGAAACTAATATTTTGCTAAAGTAACTTTGATGACAACATTTGAAAACAAGAAATGTCACACTGTATATGCTGGCAAAAGTTAAAACAGATCTCCATACCCACACAAATCTGTAGCAGATATATTTTCCATCCTCAAACTACAGTTCCAGACCTCAATACAAGTGAAAAGGAAATTTGCATATTCAAAACCCATTGCAAGTAACTTTGATGATAGGAAACACTAACTTAACACCTACAAAAATTAACTCAAAATATAAAACTAAAAAACTTACAGGAAAACATAGAAGGAAACTCCATGACCTGGTGTTAGGCAAGCAGTTCTTAAACATGACACCAAAAGCACGATCCATAAAAGAAAGAACTGATATATTGAACTTATAAAACTTAGTCTGTTTAAGACACTGTTAAGAGAATGAAAGGGTAGGCTGCAGACGGGGTGGAACTATTTGCAGAGGACTTTTTATGCAGACTAGACCTCTCAATCAGCCCAGTTGTCATAGGGAACCCAGCTTCTGCCTTCTGACCTTAAAACGTAAAGCAGTATAGACTATTTTAATCACTTGTATTCCCAGTAAGGATTCAAACATGATTTAAAGTATATGGTGATTAACATCTATTAAATATCTGCATATGTCAGATATTATAAGCATTTTAAATATATTAACTCATTTAATTTTAAAAAAACCTATGTTAGGGGATTGTTAAGGGCGGGGAAAAAGGAGACATATGTAATACTCTTTGTAATACTTTAAGCCAGGGGTCCTCAAACTACGGCCCGTGGGCCACATGCAAATACAAATATTGTATTTGTTCCCGTTTTGTTTTTTTACTTCAAAATAAGATATGTGCAGTGTGCATAGGAATTTGTTCATAGTTTTTTTTTTAAACTATAGTCCGGCCCTCCAACGGTCTGAGGGACAGTGAACTGGCCCCTTGTTTAAAAAGTTTGAGGACCCCTGCTTTAAGCAATAAAACAATTTTAAAAAACGAAGAAAAAAAAAAAACCCTATGAAATAGATATTACTGTTCCTATCTAAGAGGTGAGGAAACTGAAGCCCAGAGAGCTTAAATAACTTGCGAAGGATAGTATATGGTCAACATACAGCCAATTAAGCTGACTATGGACTTAAAAGTTTCCTTTCAACAGGATGAGCTAGGTTGTTCGTGGTAATGTTAAAAAAGAAAGAAAGATGTGAAATCCTTGCACTGACAAGACCTGGTGCCTTTTTTATTATTCTTGTAAGATCTGGAGAATTTTTTATTTAATTATTCTTGTAAGACCTGGTGACTTTTTGAAATGGAGGCAGAAATGGGGCACTGGGGCTGGCATGGGAGAAGGAGGACATTAAGTTCCATTTTTATGTGCTCAGGTTTGAAATAACTGAAAACGACATAACACTAGGTGGCACTAGACCCCAGGCACTTAAATCTACAGTAAATTCATTTTACTTAAAGACATTGGCAAAATGGTATAATTTCTAAAGAGGTTTATACCTTAATGCTAATATTTAAAAAAACCTCCCCGAGAAGCATCACTTTACACACACACACACACACACAGCACCAATTTCTACACTAGAGCGCAGAAACTGCTACTATGAAATCACACAACTGGGTGCTTAGTAACATCCT